CCATGCCCTTTGTCACATTGTAAATATCAATTTAATTTAAAATAGCAGCAGGTGCTGTTCATTTTGTAGTGACTCACGTGTAAATATTGCATCTGCCTTTATAGGAAATGATGTGCGAACAAAATCTGTAGCTGCTATGATTAGTAGTTGCTGATCTTTAAAGATAAGTAGACAAGACTAAAAAGGGGAAAGTGGGAAAATGCGTCACTTTCTGAACAAGAAACTTTCTCGAGATACCAGAAGTAACGAGGCTGTAAATAAAAATGATTGTAATGAATCATTTCTCTGAAGTACAGCAACTTACAAGAAAAAAAATATGAAGGACATTAAAGATGTCCTTCATATTTTTAAGTCATCAGGGGAAACCAAATACAGTAGGGAAAGCACATAGAAAATAAATGCGTTTGTCTTGGTTTGTTTAGATGAACTAACAATTGAACCCTATTGAATTTCTATCAACCCATTTCATGGAATAGTTGGCTATTGTTTTAGACTATTTGTCTAGCATTCCCCTTGTTTGTTGTTTCTGAGGTCCAAATGCTGCTTCCAATAACTTTCTGTGCCCTGAGGTAATTGTCTGGCACTCAGCCTTGGATTGCTCAGTGGCTAAGACGCTGAGCTTGTCGATCAGAAAGGTCGGCAGTTCAGTAGTTCAAATCCCTAGTATAGGTTTCCTGTGTGAGCAGGGGGTTGGACTAGATGACCTCCAAGGTCCCTTCCAATTCTGTTACTGTTATTCTGTTATCTCCATAACACCTGAGGGCAGACAAGAAGCAATGGGTAGAAGTGTGTCAGAGGAAGATTCAACTTGGAAATATGGAGGAATTTCCTAAGTAAGAATGATTAATTTATTGAACAGCTTGCCACCTGGGGTAATGCGTACTCCATCGCTGGAGTTTTTCAAGAAAAGATTGTGTAACCATTTGTCCAGACTGGTGTAAGGATTCCTGCCTTGGGCAGGGGAAAGGACAAGACCTCCAAGATCCCTTCCAGCCCTATGATTCTATGGTTCTAGCACTTTGTGTGACGTTTTTATTCCCCAAATCTGGCTTCCCATCTTTCCAATTATTTCCTGCCATGCAGGCCTCAAAATTAGGAGTCACTAGACAGGGGCTCAGAACATTTCCTCATAGTTTTGAAGTCTTGCACAAGAATAGTTTCATGGGTTTGTCCATCAGCTTCACCAATTAACCATTAGTACTTGATGAGAGGAATATTAGCTTTGCTAAGTAGATCCTCACAGGGCTTGCAGAAGTATATTTTAATTATCTTAAAATGTGATTAGAGGGGCTTTATATCAGGAACTGAAAAGGCATATTAAGCAGACTGGGACACTGTAAACTACATAGTACCTGAATTTCATATGTGGCTAATTCTGAGGATTAATATAACCAGTTGATTTGAATGAGATTTATAATTGGAAGGGGCGATCATGAGCTTATAGTAACCACCCAGTTCTTACAGAATAAAGTTGGAAGGGACATTGGAGGTCTTCTAGTCCAACCCTTGCTAAAGCAAGAAACCCTATACCCGTGATGGCGAACCTATGGCACGTGTGCTACAGGTGGCATGCGTAGCCATATCGGTGGGCACATGAGCTCAGCTCCGGCATGCATGCGTGCACTGGCCAGCTGATTTTCGGGCTTTCTGGATCCACCAGAAGTAGGGAAACAGGCTGTTTTCTGCCTCCAGAGGACCTAAGGGGGTGGTGGGGAAGGCCTGTTTCTCTCTCTCCCCAGCCTCCAGAGCCTTTCTAGGAGTCTGGGGAGGGTAAAAATTGCCTCCCCACTCCGGAGGCTCTCCGGAGGCCAGAAATGGCCCATTTGCCAACTTCCAGAAAACTACCAAAAACTACAGGCTGAAAAAAAGACCTGAAATCCCGTCACCGCCACTGTGTTCTTCACGCCGGCCGTGCACGCACACCCCATTGCCTGCCAGTGCAGCTCGCAGCCAGACCCAGCCAGGAGTGTTATACTATTTTAGAATCACAGAGTTATTTAGTTCTAGAATCACAGAGTTCAACTCTCTGCTCAGTTCAGGATTTGGTAGAATTATTGCAGATATTACTTTGCTTACAAATTTCCAAGGTACAAACTTCATCAATATGAACAAACCTGTCTGGAACTTCAGCCTAGAAGATCCCAAAAGTCAAGAGAATGTTAGCTTACAGTGCACCACATGCATACTCTTGTTTGGATCTGTGAACAAAATTGATCGATGAACAAGATCTCAGAACATAACCTGTACAGCACTGTCTGTATTTGAAAACCTTTAGTGAAGGTGCCATTGATCCACTGGGTGACAGCTTGTTTGGTCAGAAAGTTCCTCCTGATGTACTTCCTTACTTCCTTGTAGTTTTAACCGATTGGTTCTTGCTCTCTGGGGTAATAGACAACCAATTTGCCACTTCTTTTGTGAGGCAACCCTACTGATATTTGATGTTGACCCTCTGTCATCTTTTCTATAAGCGAACACACACCCAGATCCTTTGGAGTGGTGCGGTGGCCTAGTGGTGGAGCTCTTGCCTCACTATCAGGAGGTTGTAAGTTCGATCCTAGGTAGAGGCAGATATTTCTCTCTCTGGGCACACTGAGAATATATCTGCTGAATAAAACTCCGCATTGGCAACAGGAAGGGCATCCAACCATTAAAACATTCTGTTAGCTCCATTCAGTTGTCCAGACTCCACCCCACAAGGGATTATGGGGTTGTTAAATGAAGAAGATGATGATAATGAACACACCCAGATCCTTTAGCCATTCCTCCCAGAATTTGGCTTCCAGAGCCCTCACCATTTTGGTAGACCTTCTCTGAATTTACTCAATTTTTCAGTGTTCATTTTGAATAGTGGTACTGAGAACGGGAAACACTTTCCAAAAAAGGTCTGACCAGAGACTGTACAGTGAAACAATTGCTTCTTGCCACCTTCTCTTTGAAAATGAATTCTGCTGAAATTTAGTATGCAGGTCAGATTCTTGTTATCTCTCAGTCCTCTGGATATTATAAATTCAAGGAGACCATGATCATTTCCCCCCAAGGTGCTGGTCAACTTCATTCCTTCAATCAGTTCCTCCTTCATAGTTAAGATAAATCCCAGGATAACAGACACCCTTGTTCTCTCCTATTTTCTGAGAAATTAAATTGTCACCAAGAGAAAAAAGAAATGCGTTGGACCTCTTGACAGAATTAGATACCCAGGTAATGTTAGGATAATTGACATCCCGCATTATCACTACTGCATGTGTTTTTGCAAAATTGGTCATCTGATGAAAGCCTCACTTGTTTCTTCTGCCCGCTAATGTCATCTGTCATAAACTTCCACAATCATATTGCATTTGTTTCTCCCTGCTTTTAGGCTTATCCAAAGATTTACAACAAGGTTTCTGTGCTTCTCCCTAAATATGTTTGAATATATTTTTTCTTAATATAGTTTGACTTCTTTATCCTTTCTCTTGGGTCTCCTTTTTGAAAAAATAGTAGCCTTTGAGTGTATGTGCCAAGCCTGACTCTCATCCCACCAAGTGCCAGTGACGCCTATTATATCATATTCATCTTCCTGAGTTACCATCCTTAGTTATCTCTGTTTATTCCCCATATTCTTTAGTGTACAAGTATCTGAAATTTTGAGTAGTGCTTACTGATGTCTCTGTGATAATGTCCTGTGAAAATCTGAGTCTCCATCCTTGCCTCTTGCTTCTCCAGTTGTGTCCTGTCTTCTTGGTCTCAGTTCTTCACTTTTGTTTTTACCATCCTTCTGTTTTAGTTTGACATGCCAAATGCTTCCCTCCAATTTTTGTAACATGTTTTTTTCACCGTCTCCATATTTCTACTACTAATACAGTACAACTACTACTTCTACAACTACCCTTCCACTAAACCTTTTCCAGAATGCAATGAAATAAGTAAGGACAGATCTAGTTAGATCTAAACAAGACCTCTGAATCTCAAGAAAGGTTCATAAGAAGCTGTCATTATTATAGATATATTTGCTAGTCTGTGACCATGATAAAAACTGTCATGTTGTACAGATATATTCCAGTGGTCCAGGATGCACCCACATACAGTATTTTTTCATTTATGAGATTTAGGAGTTTAGGGTGATGTGTGAATGCAGCTAATTATTCTATAAGCACAACATGAAAAACCATGTTATTTGTTTGTTTATGATCATGTAATGTGTGAAGCTGTGATTAAGCAAAATTGGACTATGGGAGAATTCAGCCAATATTTTATGAATAGTAGCACTAGGAGTTTTCAGTTGGGAAGCATCCCAGATGGTTTCATGATCTATTTCTTGCTAAAGCACCTGAAAAAATCACACTGACAGGCAAGGGTGAAATTCTAATAGGTCTTCCCCACAGATAGTACCATTTCCTCCCAATAAATCTGGGGAGAGCCCATGGGGCAACTTGACACCATCAATATTCTAATAAGAACACATTTGCATGTCTCATTCCCCAATTAAGAATGTAGACGTGTCTTGAATATTTACCACATTCTTCTCTTTGGCCCCCCTATTAAAAAATGGGATTCTACCCATTTTTTAAAAAGTTCTTGGCAAAGTTTGTATTTATATTCCAATTTTTCACTCAACTATCAGGAGTTTAGCTTCAATATGGATTTCTGAATACTTGAACCAAAAGTAGACAAGCTTTAGATTTAGGGAAGCTGACATTTTATAAAAGTTTCATAGTCTTGTTATAAAATATTAGTTACGTATATTATTAGGAATCAAATTGTGGGAGAATATTAATAATTGTCCAATTCTGAAAAGTTATCTTAGTGAATGAATGCAATGGAAATGTATTCCAGTCCCTATTCATGGATGTTGATCCACCAATCTAATTCTACCAATTAACAATTGATATAAAAAGTTTATCATATATAAATTTACTTAACATTCTCATTAACTTCTTAGTTAAATGTATAATTGTTGTTTCTAGTACAATGAAATCCAATTGATGAAAGTCACAAGGAAAAAAACAGTCCAACTAAATTTTGTCAATACTATGAATGTATTTATTATGTTAAACAGATAAAAGCAAAATCTTTTTTCATGCTATAAATTTTTATTAAAAACTGAATATACATTTGTGTAAATAAATTAACTGGCAATTAAATTTATGCACTGTAATATTCTCTTATAAAATTGTAATGTCATTTTTCTTTACGTGAATCTTTCTACTTCTGACACCTAAAGAGACACCTTAATTCAACTGCAAATTGAATTAAACAATGTTCTAAAATAAGTACGTGCACAATAAATAAATAAAAAATTGTGCATGTATTTGAACATTCATGGCTCCTCTAAAACAGGCACCCTGATGCAGCAACAACATACCACATTTGAATTAAATGGATGCAAGTATGTCTAAAGACAGCTTTTGGAATCTGTACAGATTTGCATGTCTTGGGTATATTCAATATTCCTAAAGACAGGAAAAAGACAACGTATTGCAAATGCTATGAGTAATACTCTTCTAATCATGTTCATGGAAATAATGATTTCATATGAAAAGATAAGTGCTCAGACAGCAGAAGTGTTTCACCAATTTAGCTGCTCAGAATTAATATGTTCCAGGAAGAGAGACTTGTCCAATATTTCAAATGCTTGAAAGACAAAATTCGTTGAGGCTGTTGTTTTCCTGTTCATATTGATCCAACTGGTAATATTCAAAGGTTACTTGATTGATATGTTTTCCACTTGAGACTAACCGCAGTACGGTGTTGTCACAGCCAATCTTCATTTGAGCTAGTCAAAGGGAAATAATTTAGATTTTAATTGCTTTAAAAATGTGTAGTTATTAAACAACTTTAATGGATTGCACTTTTACATGCAGGACTTGTGTACACATTTTTGAAAGGCATGCCTATATCATTTCTTTATACGCTACTGCCTCTCTCTATATAAAAAAAGATCTCTGTGTATAGATAAAAGCAACTTCCATCTTCATGCACTATTGTGCATGAAGATTAGATGTGTATATACTGCAGCAAATACATGGACATATGATTTCTAACGAGGCATCATCTTTCCACATTGAAATGCACATTATTGCAAAGAGGATAGGAAAAACTTTATTAATACACTAAATCAAAGAATGCCTTCACACTGATTTCATTGATGGCTTCAAAATAAGGTTGAATAATATTTTTCCTATTCTGGATTCATTGCCTTTATTCTGAAATGGTCTAATCTGACCTCAGTAAGATCAGTGTATGACTAATTTAACTAATATAATATGACAACAATGTACTGTTCTTTATAGGATCTCTGATTGAAAAGAATAATTCTTGAGGCACTAATTCTAGAAGCACTTCCCTTATATCAAGTGTGTTTAATTTGTCTTTATTAACACCCATTAAATCAAATTTGAACACCCATAATATTTCATCATGTGAGCTACATTGTACTTGATTTTCTGAAAGATATAATTAATTGTAACTACAAAAATAGCAGAAGAAGGCAGAAACAACGGGCAGTGAATAGTACTGAAAAGATTGTGAAGATTTTTGTTTGTTTGAAGCAAAATAGATTACACTCAGCATCATTTATAATTTTCAGATAGAAAAGATTAAACTTCACTAAATTGCATAGAAGGGAAAAACACCTTACTGTATGGATATTTAGCTGGGCTAGGTCTTCCTGCGTCTTTATGCTGCATATATTATAGCGTGCAATTCGATCTAGATTTGAGAAGGAAGACTTTCAGGGCCAAGAGGCTCTAAGTGCCATGTTGGGTGGGAACAATAATACAAGGAGAATGAGGCTATACAGTTTACTTGGGTATGGACATGAGTTATTGTTTTTTCTAGATAGTGGACAGAGTTTGCAGAAGATGGCATGTCTGTGGGTCTAATAAGCTACAAGCTTTTCGTGTTTTCTGACTCAAAAAGGAACCAAATACTATATGGCAATTGTGATTAGGCAGGGTTAGGCATGGAATAGCAAAAGAGATGTTGGGGACTGCATAAAGTCTGTGTATTTTCAGGTTTCCCATTTTGCTCTATGGTATTTATGAGACCATCTTCACACAGCAATGATGACATTGACTGATTGATACCCACTCAGGGCTTGAGTCAGCAGCTAAGCAAAACTCTTTCCACAAGATAAGACCTTATTTTTTCAATACACATTGCCAGTCTTTTGTATTAATCCCAGTCATGAGAAGTAAATGTCCAAAAAAGTATTAATACCATGTCATTCCTTAATACCGTGACCTTAAATGGACTCCAGAGGATGGTAGAGGACAGGAAGGTCTGGAGGAACGTTGTCCATGAGGTCGTGATAGGTCAGACATGATTTCGCAACTAACAACAACAAATTCCTTAATACAAAAAATGCAAGACATTCTGACTTGTCTAGATTTGTTGGAAAAAGTTTTTTGGGAATTGTATTTGCAGTGCATCTGAAGCCATGAGATTGATTAAGCAGACCACAATGGCATAAATTAGGATGCAAATAAATATCAGGAAAGCTGTTTCTCTCTAAAACACTTTGTCATGCTTTTTTTTTTTACTGGAAAGCTGAAAATCCTAAGCAATCAGTCCATATAATTATCTTTTTTTTTATCTGCAGTGTCTATACTTGGACTGCCAAAATCTGGATGTCTATTAAAAGAAAACAAAATATAGCCTTCCTCTTTGCTGCCCTCTAAAGGTTATCTGGCATTTTGCAGATATGGTAGCCTTATTATATCACTTTGAGGAAATATTTGAACAAGAAGCATTAACACAAGAGATTACCAGGGCCACTGAAAGAATGGCAAAGATCAGCCAATGGAAGCATCTTAGAAGGGTCTAACCCATTTCCTCCCAGCAATTCCATAAAATCTCCAGCGCCCCTGCAACCAGCAGTTGGTTTCTGTGCACAAGGAAAAGCAGAAGGACATGAAACCATGTTAAATGGATAATTTAAAATGCACATTTATTTTAGCAAATGAGATTTATAAAATCATGCAAAACAAGCAAGTGTGTTTTAGTTTTGATTAGTGAAGTTCTCTTTCAATCCTTCTAAAGTAGTTCAAAATAGAGTTGTAATCATCTTCCCACCCTCAAAATACTGAGAACTCGCAAAGATTGCTATAAGCCGGTGATAACAAATCTATGGCATGCATGTCACAAGTGATATGCCATGATATTTTTGGTGACAAACCTAGAGGCACATGAGAATGCAGCCTCTGAACCCTCTGGAAGTTATGTGAGAGGGTCCTGCTCTTGAGGGGCCTCTGGACCATTCAAGAATCATACAAGAACATTCTCACACAATTCTGGGAGGCTCTTGAAGACTCTCACACAACTTCCAGAAGGTCCGGCGGCCGTGTGAGAGCACATTATATTTCTCATGTGACTTCCGCAACCCCCCCAAAATGCAGGAAGGTCCCACATGATTTTCAGAGCCTCCAGAAGCCACACAAGAATATGTTGTGCTGTTCACCTGGACTTTGGACCCTCTGGAAGTCACACAAAAGTCAGACAAAAGAAGCCTCCAAAAAATAAGCAACAACAGGGTGTGTTTTTCCACTCTTCTCAGAGGCTGCAAAGGCATGGAAGAATATTCTCCTTAGTTTCCAGACTTTGTGTGACCTCGAGCTGCTTCAGATTGGCATTTTTTTTTTAAGATCAAACTATTGTATACGTACAGAATATAGGTATTTATAGTATAGGTGTCTTAAATTGATATGCCATCCATTTCACTATCCAAAGCAACTCTTTGTTATGAATTGTTTCTCTTTTGTCTGGGATGGGGTGACAGGCTAGCAGAGTCCAGTTAAGCATTTTCTTGAATTTTTTACACACCAAGCCCAAAAGTTTCCCATCATTGTTACGAGCAAAGGGGATAGTGCAAAGATTCACATTCAGATTCCCTGCATTCCCAGAGAGCCTAACAAAAATCAACTCACTCTTACACACAAAAGGGAATAAAAGAAACTGCTAGTTTCTATAAAAATCAGGCAAGTGAGCGTTAAATGAAAGATCACATAAGGGCATAAAAATTTAAGAAGCTCTTTAAGATTTCCAAATGCAGAATTCACGAATATGGGAAGCTTTTGGAGCAAGAATGTAGTAAATGATAGCTGTCCTTGTCCCATTTAAGTGATGATTATTTAAACATCATGCTAAGCCAAAAACAAATAACCACTTTATGGGTTTGTACTATATAGTAGCTAATAACTCTGCTATTTACATCAAACTACGAGATCTCCCCATATGTTCAGAAAACATTTTGTCCTTTTTTATGACCTGTGCTGAACAGGAGGATGGGATTTTCCAAATCCACAGATGGGTACTGCCTTCCAGAGTTAATATCAAAGAAAGTTAAGGAGAGAGGGAACAAATAGAAAAATAGGCCAGACGTAGCCATAAGGACTAGCAGCAAGTTTGCTGAATCGTGTAACCCTGTAGTGTAGCAGATGTATAAGGAAGAAACTGACAACTCACCTTCAAGTGAAAGCCCTGCAGATGCCCCAGGCTAAGATCAGATATTTTTATCAATGTTGGGTAGATAATGGAAAAACTGCAATTCCGATGCTGATGAGGAACTATCATCGTAAACCTTCCACTTGGAGTCTGGGAGATGATATTGCAAGCTTTAGTACAGGGGGAAGATACAGAATTACTGAGTCACAATTTGTTCACTAAAAAGGAATGCAGACTTTTTAATCTGAGGAGGTCTTGGCACCGACACAGATAAGATGCTAATCAGCTGTGCTGAGGTCTTCCAACAGTTTCTCCATTTAAAAATCAGGCACAAATTTTTCAATTTAGGATCGCAAATATCACACTGACAGCAACAGAAAATAACCATTGCTTATTGGCCTATTTTACTGAAGTAATATTGAACGTGCTATGTCATGTAGTAGGGAAAAAAAACCATAGGGGCAAATAGCTTCCAGTGTTCAGAGAACATAAGAGTTCTCAGTATCAAAGCGTGTAACCTAAATTGTTCCTAACATTGGCAGGATAGGAAAAAGGATGTTGTTGTTTTTTTAAAAAAAGTCAGTGAATTTGCCTACTCTTTTTTGCCATGTAAATTCATCTTATAAAGGAACACTTAACCCCACGAGAAAGACCAGACCCAAAAATCAACTCCACGTAAAGGCTAAAGCTACTTTTATTAAAAGTGGCTCTAGTAACAGAATATTGAAAGTGTTCTTACTTTAAGCTTTCCTCATTTTAGCAGTCTAATTTTAGGAAAGACAAAGGGAAATCATTTTGTTGCTGGTTTTGTTAAAGCATTTGTGGACATATTTATTTATTTATTTATTATTTATTTATTTATTTATTTATTCAATTCCTATAGCTACGCAACTCAACCCAATTCTCTTTGGTTTCTCTTTGCATGCTCTTGTTTTACCTTCAGGGAAGAGTTCTATTTTTTAATGACTTTAACGATTTCTAAATGCCTGTGCCAAATCATTCTTAAAGAGCCAGAATAAGGACCCTCCATTGTCATCTGATCATGGCCCAGTTAAATTGCAGCAGCACCTAGCCCAATGGTTCTCTTTTCTTCACCACCGACCCCCTTTAAATATCTTTTGTAGTCATGGACCCCTAAGACTTAATTCAATATTTAAAACATAACATTTCTTCAAATCTTCGTAGATCTCTTATGATGACATTGCAGTTCCCCCCAGGGGTCTGCAGTGAGAATCACTGACCTAGCCAATCATGGTTGTTCTTAAAAGTGAAAAAAACAAAACAAAAAAGAGAGGCGTGAACTTGGATAGAATGGAAGACTGCCAGTCTAGAGTAGACTGGGAAGTCAGAAACATTCGAGAAGAAGGCAACAGCATGCCTCCATTATGGGTAAGAAAACATAGTCAAGCTGATTGAGCCTTTGCTATACTACCGATACTATTCCTATTGATTTGATCACAGCTTGTCTGAATTGTTCCCCTTCTCAGAAATCACAGCCATTTCCGAAGATAAAATGAAAACAAGCTTACGGAAAAGATTAGGCTGCTTCTTTATTGTTAAGGTGAATCCGTTCCCTGCATCCTGAATCCTGAAGAAGATCATGGCAACATTCTGAGATGACCTGATAGTGGTTGGGCTAGCTCCAGCTTCACAGAAATCTCTATACCTTTCGGAAGTGGGGAGAGGGTGATCCGAAGAGCTAGGAAACTTCTCACCCTTCAGTATCCAGCCATCAAAAACCTAGAGGGATGTAGGAGTATAGAAGAGAATTCGGATTTAATATCAGATTTCCTCATCTTGATGCCTTCCATATTTACTGAGACTGCAATTCCCAGACTGAGGACATTCTGCCTCCAAAATCAAAAGGAGACAAATCACAATTTGTCCATTAAAGTAAATTCTTTGTTCCTTATGTTTCATATTAAATTTTAAATCCAAACAGATTGCTCATAATTTGACTGATTGTTATTTTTCATACTGGTATTATTGGCATCACATTATTGGCATAAATATGGATAAGAACATGCATGTTCTCATTTTCAGATTATTCCTTTTAGTAAGTTTAATACTAGTTAATGAAGTAAAAAAAGACTGACTCTTTTCATTATAGGAAGAATGTCTTGTAGGCTTTGGACCTCTCTTATATCTCATGCCAATCCAGGAATTTCACCAATCTGCTGCACACGTGACTTGGCATTAACATCTATTATAAGTCATCACTTCATGCACTAATAATAATCACTTTGACATTCTCTGTAGTTTCTACTTCAAATGTTTAATAATTGGGCTTAATTATGAAAGATGTGTTTCTAAACCTGACATTTAAATTTGAAGCAGAGTGATCATTATGCAGTGTCACACAGATGCTGATTCCCTTCACTCCAGCTCTACAGTTCATGCATTGTCCTCAGGGGTTCTGATCCAAGCATTATTGAGCCGAGCAGCCAACTATGCATATACTCCAGTTGAGGTGCCTAAACTTTGGGAGCTAGAAAATACTTTTGGAATGTTGAAACCATGTTTTAAGAACTCTCACAAAATGACTACCAACAAGGAATGTGGTGAAAATACCTACCACCTTCCAGAAAAACTTTCACTGACCAATTTAATTTTGATTTCTGGAACCCAGACAGAGAAACAAAACTCTGGGCTATGGCCATCTATCATGTTTTCTTGAATTCTCTCAGGACCCAAATGAAATCTATGTGGTATTCTTGGAGATTTAAAATGATGCAATTGCCACTTGGCTTTGTAGAATGGCAATTTTACAGTTAATGTTTCTAAAGGTGAATAAAAATAACCGCTTTTTGTTCTAATCATCCCATTATTCTTCAAACAAACATGTGAGATCCTTCATGTTGCAGATCCAAGGAAATTAAAATGTTCACATTACATGAAATTAAAGAAACAGACGTTTTGACCAGAGTGTTGATTATATTATTTTAGGAATTACTAATAAATTCCATTTAAAGATAAGGCAGACAATTGATTTTCAAGTAATAAATGCATGGTGGTTATCTGTGATGGAATGTAATAGAATGGATTCCCAGGGTGGAGGGGATGCATTACAAAGGAAATAGAGACAATCCAGTCCAGATATTTTGTGTGAAAGAAAGAGGATGAAGTATATGATAAATGCAGACAGTAGAGAGCTTCAGTTTGGCAAGATTCTGTCTTATAGGTGTAGAAACAATGAAGAACTCAGCTTGAAAGACTCTGGTATCACTCTTGGGTTTGGGGCCTCACATGATCTACAGATTTGACTTCACTTTAGGGTTATTTTTGGGTAAAGAGGTGATGGTTTCTTCTGCTGCATTTTATCCTAGAAAATGCAATTATTTCTCCAGATAATATGCTAATGTAACAATAGCCAAAGAACAGCAAGTTCTCTCCATCTATTGTATCAACAGAACAAAGTTTCTTGCAATACTTTAACTCTGGCAAATGTATAAAGTATTGTGATAAATTTATGGTATCTTTCCTATAACCATATCTTCTGTGGGCTGTCAGCTTCCTTCTTTATTTCTATGTTTATTGCCTGCAGAAATTCTAACAATGTTTTGTTAGTATTTTAATTCTACATACTTAAATACTTAATTTCATTATTAAAATAATATATTCCCTACTGAATCTCAAATTCATGAAAGGCATTGTGGTACGATGGTTGAAGGTTGGGCTACAGCTGATGAGTTTAAATTTCTACCCAGCCACAACTGCTAGTCTACCTGCCAGGCTTTCTGCTAAAAGAAAATGAAAAAAAGGAAAAACGGTGTGTATCCTTGAAAACAAGATGTAAGTGGAATGAATAAACAAAAATAAAATTCATGGTACTAAGTAGCAAGGCTATGAGAAGCAAGACTGTAGAGGAGGGATTTTGGATTGATCCAAAGCCAATCTCATTCCACTCACCATGTCTGGAAACCTCAAATGCGACATCTAAAGCATTACCTTCTATTTTGATTTTTTGACTTTACCAGTGCCAAATATATCCTGTTTTTTTTATAAAAGAAAAGTGTACATTCCCTCACCCCTGTCTGATATAGAAACTCTCAGTCAGCAGACAACCTCTTACCTTCAAGAAATCTCCAGCTTGACAGTCAATGTTGACAAAGTCAAAATCTATACTGATGAACTCCTCTGGTTCTCCTATGAAGAATGTTGCACAATGCATCTGGGGTTGCTCTGCAGTGAAGGTGAACTGCCCTTCTATACTTAGCATGTCAAGACATCCTGCAGGCAAGAATAGAAGCAAGTCAATTCCTTTTTCTTAGGGGAGGAATCTCTTTTCACATGTCAGATTCAAGGGCAGGGAATATTGAAGAGAGAAACTGTGTGAATGCAAAATGAAAGACAATTATCTGTTTGACATTATTGAAAGAATCCCAGCTCTTAAAAACAATACACATGTAATCTTCCAAAAATCACACAATATAAAAACGAGTAACAATAATTCCTAGGTCAAGGCACTATGTTAATAAATAGGATGTAAGTATATATAACAATTTAGTTTATAAGAATGTTCAATATGGTTATACAAGAATAAGAAAATGATTAGGATGATTGAATTTAAAAGTAAAGATAATTGTCAATGCAGACAGTTGTAAAATATTATATAATGTTGTTATTTATGTTTTGTATTTTACTGTTTGGTGTATGTGTATGTTTTTCCTTTTTTGGGTCTTTTTTTGTTTTTTGTCTTTTTCAATTATGTTTTTGGTTTTAAAAATGTAAAATATTCAATAAAAACTATTAAAAAACAATAATGTTAAGCTCATATTATAAAGAAGAAGTCAGTAGCTAAATAATTCCTAGGTCAAGGCACTTTTACATGTTTTTACTAAAAACAAGATAAATGTAACTCACAAATGTGCCGATTATATGCAAATGTCCCTTTTTGATAAAGGCCATCATTCTCAGTATGCTGTTTAATTTTTAAGAAGATTCTACATTCAATCCCTGGCAGATAGAGCTATAGAAGACTTCAGAAAGAAATCTTGGAAAGTTACATCCAGACTCTTCTAGTCAGCTTAGGTAGCTCCCAGATTGCTTAATTATGTTCCCAAATTGGTGACAAAACTTTCTGCCATTTGGATACAATAAACATACAAAACTGTAGTGTAAACCTTAAAAGAAGCACTCTCCTAACCTAGACACAAATGGAAAACATGTGCAGAACCATATTATTCTCTCAATCACTACCTTTGCAAATTTCAACCCCCTACCTTCACCCCGTCATTAGGACTACAAACTCAAATATTTTCTTTTCCCTAAGCCTTCTTCTTAGTTTTTACTGTCATTTTTAAATCTCATCAGACAAAACCCTTCCCTTCCTTCTCCATATGGGTTTGAAAGTTCATTGGAGGAGAGTCAGGGGGAGTACATTAATCTGTATTTCATGCCCATTATCAGGAAACAAAAGTCTAAGCACCTATTATGCCTTTATTAGGATTAATTAAAATGACATAAAAGAATGTGCAAAAACTTTTGAGTTTTTCTTACATTGAGCCTGATGCTTCCAAAAAGCAGGAGAGAAAAGCAAGAAAATTCAAATTCTACAGCTCTGAGCTTAAATACTCACTCTTAAAATGGCAATTGGGAGCTAAATGCTTTATTATCAAAAGGTGCAACTGATGTCAGCTTTTGACTGTCATTTAAGAACAAAGTGATTCTTCCCAATTCTGGAAACACAAGTCCCCAAGCTTACAGGCTCCTGGCTCAGAAGAAAACAGGGGAGGAAAAATCTTGAATTTACATCTTGGAAATGACTAGCTGATTGAATGATTATGTGCCATCAAGTCTGGATCTTCCAACTTCCTTGGATGTGATTTCTCCTCAAAAGGACGTACAATTATAAATGTATCTGCACAATGTGCAAATTGGCATAGCATTTATATAGCATTTCCGAGAGTGCTTGGTGGGCTAATCTGGAAAATTTAGCAAGAAAATCATAGCTTGAAGCCATATGAGATTTGAACTGTGGCTTTCTTATTCTTCTTCATGAAAGAAACAGGAGTAAGTTTCTTTTCCTTACATTCTCATTCTGATTTTATTGCAATAAACAATAATAAGGAAAGTAGAGGTCATAAACTCACTTCTGAGCTGAACTACTTCCCATCCACCCTTGTAGCATTCAAGTGAGGAGGATAAAAGCAGATTTGCACTGCAAACTCCATCCCTTTTTATACATGCATTATTATATCACATTCACATACTAATGGGGTGGAGCTTGCAAGGCTGCTTATGTCAGAAAAGTGTAAGAAAAGCTCCTGCAGATAATGCTGCCAATGTCATCTCCACTGCTGATTCATTTCCTACTTCCTTTACCTTTATTTCAAATCACTGCAAGTACCTGACATCCAGCCGTAATAATTGGATTTTCCAACCCAGGAGAGGATAGATAGGCAAAAGAAAAAAAAGCATTACTTTAACATGAAGTAGAGAAGGTGGCTTAAGCTTATCTCACTTGTGGACTGAGGATGGGATGAAGGTGAGACGGTGGGAACACATCAGATTATAAAAATTGCTTAGGCGTTTTTTGTGCCATGGGAGGTGACAGAAAAAAGGTCTGGAAATAGGTAATATTACAGTCATGCAACAGCAGGTAAGCTGTATACTTTCTTCTCTTCCCTTTTCCAAAAGATTTTAAAGTCTGCATTCTGTTACTCATGTAAAACAGACATGGGAAAAGTACCATGTATCAACGATAGAGTGGATTCATACATTATGGTAAGTCATGGTTTGTTTAATCATAACTGCTACACTCCACAATTAGCTGGGTTTAGGCAATGTGCTAAGCCATTGTAATTTAGTACTATGTGTAAATGTTGCATGTACTAGTGTCTCTGTTTAATCCCTGAAATGCCAGTTAAAAGAATGAGACAGAGGTATTGTAAAGAAACAGAAGGAATGTCAACAGAGATGAGCCTTTGGAGAACTAAGTAACATACCCATGAGAGTGAACTGTATTTGGCTACATGGCATAATAGCAATAGCAATAGCACTTAAACTTATATACCACTTCACAGGGCTTTACAGCCCTCTCTAAGCAGTTTACAGAGACAGCATATTGCCCCCAACAATCTGGGGGCAATTTTACTGACCTCAGAAGGATGGAAGGCTGAGTCAACCTTGAGCCGGTGAGAATCGAAGTGCCAAACTGCTGGCAATCAGCAGTCAGCAGAAGTAGCCTGCAGTACTGCATTCTAACCACTTTGCCATCACAGCTCTTAAGAGTTAATTTTGATAGTCAGTGAAGCTTTTCACTGCATTTCTGCAATCCTTTTCTCTTGCAACTCATCTTATTCTGAATCCCGTGTTTTCTATATATTTTTTTCCCTTATGCCAACTGCTTCCCTTCTTGTTGCACTGCTAAACAAAGATATTGGGCTAGCAATGGAAAGAGCCTTCATGCCTCATTGCCATTTCATACTTGGCATAGGATACGGAGATCCTCTCAGGTCCTTACCACGATCCTCCCTGAAAAGCATTGTTTCTGGCATCATTCCCCATCTTAGTTAGACCCTTGCAGCTGAGTGGTGCAGACATTTGGGGGACTGAAATCCCATTCCTACAGAGGGCATCTGGGGAAAGATGGCTTGGAATTTTGCTCCCAGGAAGGAGCCTCTCACTCTTAATTTCAACTCAGGGTCAGGAGCAAGCTTTGGAATTTGTCCCAGTGTACAGGTTCAGCCTTGGCATGCATTTAGCCACGAGGAAGGAGACCACTCATGAAAACATATTTAAAGGTATCTCCTCTCAACTCCAAAGTACCAACTGATATCTCCTAGGAAGCTGGAACCATTCCCAATTCACAAGTGAGACAACCTAAGTTATCCAGAGCCATTATTTTCCTTTCCTGAAGCACACAGTACAGATTGCTACTGCTATCTATACCCCACCCACAACTTTTTCTCCTATCATATCTTCTCTTCTACTGCACCTTCCTCCACTGGTGGAAATCCCACTGAAAAGAGAACTTCATCATTATTTTCTTTTATCTAGCTTCAGACGTTAGCAATGTCCTCCAGGTGCAACCAGACAACTGATTGTCCAAAAGACATCAGATTGGAGAAGGTTCGACTATTCTCTCACTCACAAGCATCCTCTGGTATTCCCCAGCCAGCCAGCTGAATAAACCACCATAAACTTTTTCTTCTTTCTGGTTGGCAGTTCCAAGAGCAGAGATTTCACATTATCTATCTCTGAAATCACTTATTCAAAACTTATTTTGGCAATGTTTATGGAGTTTCCCAGTCATCCAGGTCATGGTTGTCCCAAAGGCGTTTTTTCAAGAGGCAACTGAACTTTCTGATTTTTCTCTGAAGATGCTTCACTTCCCATCTAAGAATCTTCTTCAGCTGAAAAGCAACTTCATCCAAGCAGCTTCAGTTCCTTGCATCCAAGAAGCAAAAAAGTCTTCAAAGAAAAAAACAACAGACAGTCCAGTTTGCCTCTTGAAAAAGCATCTTTGGGGCATTATTCTGCCAATATTCATGATACCCCCACAAAAAGGAAGTTCTGATCCCCCTTTTCCAGGCGACGTTGGGAACAGAAACACAGTCCAGGAGATGGAATGCCACAGAAGGCGAAGCATCGGTCGCTCTCAGAAAGTTTTGCGCTCCGGCCGATCACTCTGGAAAAGCACTCCGCACACAGCTCCACACCTTAATTTGCACTCTTACCAAAACTGGCGTTTAGAAAAGGGCGCCAGGACGATTTCTCGTCGTTTCTCACTTGCGAGAAGCCGCCTCTGCTTACGTTTTACCGCACCCAACAACCTTTGGGGCAACCTGCTCATTCTAGGGCTGGGATCGAGGTCGCTTGAACCCACGTCTAACCTTTTTAAGTCGCGGCGTGCGGACATCGGTAGCAGCAGCGCCTTCTGAACCACAGCTTCCCCGGCAGCGAGAGAATTACAGTTCCCATCACACACGCACATACACACACACACGCCCCGTCCCGTCCCGTCCCGTCCGCCCGCCTCCGGAAGAAACTCACGCAGCGTCCGACGGTAGATCTGCTCGCCCGAGAGTTGCCTTTTCAGCTCCTGGTTGAACAGCAGGACCGGCCCGTCCGCGAAGGCGTCCTGCCGCCCCTGGAGACACAAAAGACAGAAGAGCTCCGAGGGGGCGGAGAAGGGGCCACCCAAGGCTCTTGGCGCAATGGGGAGGGTACAGGGTCTCTTGCTCGAGCAGGGGGTTGGACTAGAAGACCTCCGGGGTCCCTTCCAGCTCTATGCCGATTCAAAGATGGCCAAAGGGGCCCACCTCGGCGTGGAAGGGGTCCGGGCGGAGAACGGGGAGGGGACGGGGGGGCAGCAGGACGCCCGCTCTTCGCTTACCTCGAAGACCCTGCTCTCCCCTCCCAGGGCGGCCCAGAAGATCAGGGCGAGCTGGCAGCGCCGGAATCCGACAGCCATGTCCGACAGCCTTTGCGCCGCGGCGTGAGGAAAAGGGTTAACAGCGGCGGGAGCGGCGCCTTCTCTGGGGCTGCCTCCTGGCCGCCTTTCCCGGACGGGTCCCTTTTATAGAGCTTTGGCAGAGGGGAGGCAGCGGGTCCCCTGACTGATAGGGTAACCCATGGTTACTGGATCTCTGCCAGGGAGGCGAGGAGTGCGCAGTGATGACGGGGGCCCCCCAAACCCGCAGCTGCGCTCGTGACCCCGCTGCTCGCGCGGTCCACTCGAGGCTCAAAGCCCCCCCTCTTCCCTTACCACACCACGCCGCCCTCCCTCCTCGAAAGCGAAGTTCTCTGCCTCTTTTGCCACTCGCCCTTTTGGAAGAGAGACCCCGGCAACCGACGACTAATTGAAACATCGTGCCTTTCTTTTTCGGGGGTGGGGAGAAAGGAAGGCGCGCGTCAGTGTTCTGTGCTTTTGTTCCAAGCGAACTTTTAGCACGTTCTGACTGAGCCAGGCAGGCGAAGAAACAGAAATCAGATCTGGGGGAGAGTTTTTATTCAGATTAAATCCTGTTTTCCTAAAGAAACTTGTCAGAGGTGTAGATTTTAGGATGAGAAGGGAAATTTACTCACTCACTCATTCATTCATATGGCTCAGTGGCCTGAAAGTATTTGGATGGAGTAGAAAGTCTTTGACTCAACCCTGACAGGACTGAGTGGCTGTGGCTGTCCATCCCCCATTCCTCCCCACCCCCATTCCAGGGATATTTTTTTATTATTGGGCTTTTTAAAAAATGGACTGACTAGCCTATCAGAGAGACAAGTCTTCACAGTCTCTGTCTTTTTCAAGTTATTTTTATTAGAAAGGCTATAGTAACAGTCTGATTGTGCTTCCCTTTCTCCCTCCTATTATGAGAAGGGGGGGGGCTGGCTGTCTGAAGTGTTTTTATAAACCACTTTACTGACCTGGGCTCAAATTTTATGTCTCAGTAGCAGATCTTCCCTCTGTCCTTTAAGGCCATCCTGTTTACTCAATGCAGGTTAAAAGTAGACCCACCTCACTTCTTTCAACTGAGATGCTCTTCTGACTTACAAGCAGTTCCTGACAACTGACTTAATCTGCTGGAAAGCTTCGCCATCAGAATTGAACAATGTCAGCAAAAGAGCCAGAAAATGTGGTCAAGGGGAAAGTCAAGAGAAGGTCATCTTTGTTAGATCAGAGCCAAACCTCAGCCAGTTTAGAGCGTCTTGGCTGAAGATGATCCTAAATCCTGAAGGTGATCCTATCGCCCTTCTCCTCCCATTTACGACTGTATGACTGTAATCTGTTGCTACATCCTTACGATTTATATTGATTGTTTCCTAGTATGATTCAATTGCTTATTTGTACCCTATGACTATCATTAAGTGTTGTACCTTATGATTCTTGACGAATGTATCTTCTCTTTTTATGTACATGAGAGCATATGCACCAAAGACAAATTCCTTGTGTGTCCAATCACACTTGGCCAATAAATAATAAAGAAAGAATTCTAAATCCTTTCCATAAATTCAAAGGATGCCCTGAAAAACGTTGCCTTCTTGTGCATGATCTTGGCCAGGGGATGCTTGAATTCAACACAGTCTCATGCCAATTCATATGGATGTTATTTCCCATTGATTGTAGTTACTTGAGATAGTGCGGCATAGTGTATACCACAAGCTCTTGCCCCTCTCTCTAAACATTTTAACTATTAGACTTTTATTTTGCTAAATAACTGAATATTTCTTGGCAAGCTGATACCTACGTAAAATATTTAAGCCAAAACACCATGTAATACATTATTTTTCTTTTTACTGCGATTTACAGTATTACATGGTGTTTAACTATTTTAAGCATAGGATTCTATATAAGGTAAAGCAATTTCATCTTAAGGGAATAAGTCCAAATGTCAGGTGGAAGTGGCTTTTTGTCATTTTGTCACTGCAACAGCACTTTCTTTATTACTGACAACCTATTAAATGCATATATATCCACACAAACCTACACACAAGCATGCACGCACGCACATGTGCACACACATCACACACACACACACACACACACACACACACACAGAGCCTTTGATTGGAACTTATTCTTAGAGGTGCACATTCAGCAACAGAGTTACAGCTGAATCTAAAATTGCTAAAATGGTTAAGGCACCATCTGGGCTTCTATCACTGCAAGCAAAAGAGCAATTTGTCAGAAGAATATACTTTCTATACATTGCTTTATTATTATAGTGCTACTCTAATCATAAATGGTGGTGTGTCCTGAATGGAGACAGCCAGCAGTGGATTAGACAGGGCAATACTTGCATTCTGTGAATAATAATTCTTACTGCTATTCTAAAATAACCTGATTGATTCTAGTTTCACCTTTTTAACAGGATCATCATTTTGATTTTTGCTCAAGGGAGACTTGGTTTAGGATTTGCATTTGTATCTTTTAAAAAATGCCATCCAGACAAATCTTGAAACCTGTTTATATATTCAGAGACCTGGCCACGGTCTGTGCTGAAGACTCAGGTGCAAGTCCGCCCTCAGCCATACAAGTTCATTGGGAGCATGGACATTTGCTCTCTCTTGACTCTACTCTACTCACAGGATTGTTATTCTGGGGGTGAAATGAAGAAAAGAGAGTTTGGATGGCTATAACCCACTGATCCAAGCAAGCAGAATGCACTGGAATTACTTTCAGGGCTTCAGAGGGGCCCTTGCAGGAGTCAGTAGGTACCACAAGCGAAATAGAAAAAGATGAAATGGAATGTAAGACGCTCCATAAATTGCCAATGACCTTTAGTTATAAGGCGCTTTATGAGCTACAAGTTACATTTATTATGTAGAATACAAATAAAGGCTTTGAAATAGAATACTATAAATTGAATATATCAAAGTGGAAAAACCATTAAAATTAGAACTAATTATCAATGGATTAGCTGAATAGAAGAGATATAAAAACGATGCCCAAATTTATGTTAAGAAATAAAACTTTGAGGCACATATGCTCACAGATGGTAACATTTATAGGACTCAATGAGTTCCGTTCAAGGTGTACTTTCACTGTATTGGCTACATTTCATTATTATGTCTAGAACAGTGATGGCTAACCTTTTGCCATCGCGTGCGAAAAGTGGGGGAAGCACAGGGGAGTCATGCGCATGCGTGCCCACACCCATAATTCTATGCACTCCACCCTGCGCATGTGTGCGCGACCCCCCCACGTTTCCCCCGCTTTTGGCACGCAATGGCACGGTGGGCCCGGTAGGCCCATTTTTCGTCCTCCCCAGGCTCCAGAGCCTTTCTAGGACCCTGGGGAAGATGAAAACGGTCTTCCCCACCCCCCTGGAGGCTCTCTGGAGGCCGGAAACAGCCGACTTCCAGGGGGCCCAGAAGGCACAAAAGTCAGCTGGCTGACGTGTGCATGTGCGCCGGAGCTGAGCTTGTGTGCCCACTGATATGGTTCTGCATGCCACCTGTGGCACGCATGCCATAGGTTTGCCATCAAGGGTCTAGAAGGAAGATCTATATTTTGCAACAACAGTTAGTGGTTGTGGTTTTTTTTTTTTCTTATTTCTTCATTATAGATTAACTCTTCATTAGTGATTTACTTGTAAGTGATTTATTTTCTCATGAGCCATCACCAAAATCAATAAACTAAACCAATTTTAATTTTTCTCACTGATCTCTATGGGATTTATTTCGTAGAAAGCAGGCACTGTATTTAATTTTTATGGTCCTGCTGCAATCACTTGCAATTTACAACAATTATCCATATAAATCTACATTTGAATAAAAAAAACATTTCACATTGTTAATAATTCTTGAAAAAGAAACCAGAAAATTATGCAAAAAAGAGCTGCTTCGACCACAGGCAGCATATAAAATTCAATTAAAAAAAAGAAAACAGCAAACACAAAATAACAATATCGTGTTGCTTTAGCCGATTTAATACTTTAAAAATATAGCAACAACACAAATTACATTCATTTTTTCATGAAAAAATGTAGCACCAGTTGTGATGCTTAAATATATTTTCTGCATCACAAAACATAAAAAATTATAAAGAAATATACTTAGGACACTCAGAGTTGCATTCATGATTTTAAAAAATAGGAAAAAATAGAGTCACAATACTAAATATTTCATGCTTTTAATGTCTGATTTTTTTATTGAACAGTCACACATGATTTCACTGGTGATATTGCTAAAGCCCAAACAGTAACATACCAGAAAAAATGCTTTTTAAGCAATATACAGTAATCAAGATTCTCTTCTGGAGATAGACAAATTTATCTATCCAAGCATGATTCAATATTCTTTGACGAGGTATGTGGTGTGATGATCACTAAAAGCCAATTTGAATGTAGGCAAATCTAATCTGATTAGCAAGTACTTTCAATTTCACACTCCTACTGTTCTCTATTCTACTTGGGTTTTTCTGTGTCCAGCTAAAAAGTTGTCTAGTTATTGCTTGCAAAGGATAAAAAATAATAAGAGGAATGTATGTTGAGGAAGGGCCCTCAAGTTTCACTCTACTGTGTTTGTCATAACTTGTTTGTATGGAATATAATTCAGCTGTTTTCCTTTCTGTGATAAAATACTAGAAAAATAACCACTGTTGTGTCAGACACCACAGTTATGATATACTTTGCCTATGTTTTCAGCACTAGCTAAACAAAATCCATTACTATTTCTTTCTCTTTGCTCTATTAATCCTTGATGTTTTAATGAACCAATCTTAGTGATTTCTGACCTGACAAGTAATTTTGTATGGAGCTTGATGTTTTTCCTAGATTATTGCTGCACTCAAAAATCCTACAGTTAAATTCAGCAGATTTACTTTTGGCTGAGCAGTTGCACAGCTCAAAGAGCAAAACCTCATTTTGTGGTTTGTGACACTAGAATTCAGCAGTTTAAGCTTCAAGAGGGCCAGTTTACCATTGGCAAAAGGTCCTTCGAATTCCCACCTCTCAGTTCCTTGTCTCTACCCTGGTTTTGCACTAGGATTTAGGCAGTTCTTACAGACACACACACACACATACACACCACACACACACACACACACACACACACACACCAAAGATTCAGGCACTGGAGCTCAGGGCCAGCTGGAAACCAATTTTGTCATTCTTTCATTGGCCTTCAACCAGCCTTTTGGGTGGGTGAGTGGGTGGGGAACATCTAAGAGGTGATTTCCTCTCTCCCTGCTGGATCATCCAATAAAAAAAAACAGTAGGTATCTCTAGTTATGATCG